ATATACAACCGGATAACAATTTATATCACTTCCGAGATTGACATCGTACAATTCGAAAATTAAAAAAGAATTCGTGGTCTCATGTTTTACACTAAGAAATTATGAATCTTACAAATCTTCCATGCGCTTCAGGTTTTAATAATGCAAACAACTGAATCAAAAATATTTTTAACAATTGCTGCTTCATGCTCAGAATGCTCTTGGGTGAAATATTAGAACAACCAAAAGAAGGACAAACTATTTTTATAAAGTGTAAAATTACGGATTTCAATCGTACAGTAACTTATGAGAAGAAACGCAACTTACAGGGAAAATTAAGAACAGCATTTGCTCTGTTCACTCTGATCCGGTTGAGAATTTATATTTTCTTAAAAATGATAATAAGTATAAAAGTGCAATTCGTAATATAGAAAAAGATCCCTTTTTTGTCTACTATTGGACAAAGAAGAATCAATTACTATATGTGACCTGGTCTATGAAAAAGGACCTTACGTGCGAAACCAAGTTTTCGAGAAAACAGCAGTTAAAGTTGAACTTAGAAAAACCCTTGTAACTTTTTTAAATATTAATATTTTTTAATCAAGTTAGGCTTATTTTCTTCACCGTAAAATACAGTATCAAAATAAAAAACATTCTTTTAAAACATTTTAAATAATTAAATTTGAAGAAGTTAACAATTTTCCCGAATCAATCTACACAAATAAATTAAATATCTTAAATAAATCTCGATAAGCTCATGTGCTTCAATGTATCGACAGCACAGCTGCCCTTATACAGAAACCTGCTTAATTTGAAAAATATTTTCGAAATTAATTAATAATTTCAAAATTATCAGAGAACTCAGAAAAAACGGTAGCATGGTGAGATACGAGCCCACGACCTTTCTATTGCCGGTAGACTGCCTGACCACTGAGCTACATGTACCCCCGAGACTCTCCGAGTTCCTTGAAATATACTATCCCTTCCTACTTTATTTTAATGATAACGTAGGAAGGTTCTTAAAGATGGTAAGCCTAATTTTACAATTCATAGGCAATTATAATTGAAGGAAGTGAATTTATCATTCGGTGATTAAATATAAAATTTGAAGAAGTTAACAATTTTCCCGAATCAATCTACACAAATAAATTAAATATCTTAAATAAATCTCGATAAGCTCATGGGCTTCAATGTATCGACAGCACAGCTGCTCTAATACAGAAACCTGCTTAATTTGAAAAATATTTTCGAAATTAATTACCAATAATTTTAAAATTATCAAAGAACTCAGAAAAAACGGTAGCATGGTGGGATACGAGCCCACGACCTTTCTATTGGTTTCTGTATTAGGGCAGCTGTGCTGTCGATACATTGAAGCCCATGAACTTATCGAGATTTATTTAAGATATTTAATTTATTTGTGTAGATTGATTCGGGAAAATTGTTAACTTCTTCAAATTTAATATTTAATCAACGAATGATAAATTCACTTCCTTCAATTTTAAATAATTGTTTATATAAATTAATAACAAACTCCCTAAACATAGAAAAAATAATCTAAGTTTTCTAAATAGCAACAACAAGTATAAATAAGTGACACATGTTTGTAAGGGTTTTCGAGGCCGCTGATTACTAATATGATGTTAAATTGACAATTTGACAGTTAACAGCTGTCAACTTCTCTAAAAAGAGATCGTTTTTTATAAAAAAGACAGTAATAAGGTTTTTGAGGTCGATAATTATGAATATGATATCAAATTTGAATTTTAACTGTTGACAGTTGTGAAAGAAACGGTCAATTTTTCTAAATAATAAAAAATGACCGTCTTCGTTGTGTTACGTCCGTAACTTCTTAATATACTTAAATTATCTATAATATTTAGGTGTGTATTTCTTTTAAACATATTGAATTATACATATATATTATACTAACGTATTTGAAATACGTATTCATACAATCTCTTTATATTATTGCATTATATTCAATATATTTTATAAGAAGGTAATTGTTATTATAAATTTTATATGTATTTAAACAAACTTATAAATTATAACAAATCCAAGAAAGATGGGTAATACTTTTCATGTAAAAAGAATAACGATAATCCATCAAGCAGATTACTATAATCCCATAATCATTATAGTGCATAAAACAAGCAGGCAGGTGTCTAATCCCTGGAAACTAAACTGAGAGGTACAACGGTCGCCCCTCAACCCCCCTTAAACTATCGCTCTGGATTGCAACCTAGCAGCCTCTTAGACAGTCATTACGGCATTGCAGCCTAGTCGCTTCAACCCCCCTTAAAATCCAAGCGGCATCAACACGTGTATGATTCCAAAGCATTGATGAAGACAGTTTTATATAAAAGGGGATATGAGTTCTACTCAGATCAGAGAGTAACTATTTAGAAATCAACCTGAACACATCGTTCAGTACAATAGATAGAGAGTAACTATTTAGAAATCAACCTGAACACATCGTTCAGTACAAGAGATAGAGAGTAATTTTTTGGGAATCAACCAGTTTACATCGTTCAGTCAACGTTAACACATCACATAATTTACAAGTGAATTCAAAGTACATCTTTGAAAGTGAACAGTATATCTCCAAGTATTCTTTTTAAAGTGCATTGTTCGAAAGTGAACAATATATCCCCAAGTGTTAAATTTGAAGTGAACTGTAAATCAACCTTTTATTATACACCAATTGCAAAATATAAATTTTAAACAATTTCCAAAATTATTAAATTGGAAATAATCTCAACAATCAAAGAAGATCTAATATTGAAACAACACATTCCAAATTTCGAACCATCGAAATTTGCTCAAGAGGCGACAACCGTCTGGAAGAAAGCAGATATTTTCAAAATACAATACACTATCTCATTAGTGTAAACAAGAGGATTAATACCCAACCATTAAGGACAACAAGCGGAAGGGCCCTTTTTCGTCTAGCGCTCAACACCATCGAGATTAAACAGGAGATTATCATCACACCACCAGTAATCGTTATTCTTTAAGTAAGATTCATAATTTTTGTACTCATTGTAATTTTGTCAACTCTTTTCTATCTTGTTGGTTTTTAAATAAATTATTCTCTCACATTTAGTAGGCTCATTGACTTATCCTCATCCCAAATTAGATTCATTATTGAAACTAATTTAAAACGAGGAACGCTAGGAATATTTAAAAAGGTTTCTCGTTTTGACGTAACAGAAGCCCTTTTAAATTTTGGTGCATCGGCCCGGGAAAATTATAAAGTCGATCAGCCATATAATTTTGTCAAATTTTTAATAACATTCGAAAATTTTAATGAATATAATTTTTAAATTAATGAAATAATTCAATAAAAATAAATAAATCAATGAGTATACCAATTTTTTAAAAAAGGGGAAATTTTTTTTTGTAACAAATAATAATAACAAATAATATCAACATACAATAATTGAAAATAATCAGTATCATAAGAAAAAATGTTTTTTTAAAATTTTTTATTAATTTAACACATTTTATGCTAATTGATAACATTATACAAGATTTAAGTCGCAAGGTGCATTCATAAATATACATCTTATATTGGTATTGATGAATAGAGGTTCGAGTCCTCTTAACTTATAAATTTTTCTTTAATGTGCATGGTGCATTTATTAATGCAATTCTGTATTAATAAATAGAGGTTCGAGTCCTCTCAACTTATAATTTTTAAAGTTGCAAGGTGCATTCATCAAATTAAATCCTTTGTTATATTACTGAATAGGGGTTCAATTCCTCTAGACTTATGGAATTTTTTGTCTTGTATATGAATCATTTTTGATATTTACTTTGTGCTAAAACAAATTTTATTTTGTTCATTTAATTGTGATTTGTTATTGTTATTACACGTTTAAAAATATTCTATTATACTGAAGCAAGATCAAAATATTTACTATAAAAGAAAAGTGTATTTTATATTCAAGAGACAAGATTGACAATGTTACAATTAACACTATGATAGTTTTTAATGTCTTCTTCGAATAAAAATACTACCGATTCCTCACATTTAACTCGTTTACAAATAAAGAATAATCCAAAATTAGCATTGAATTCGGGAATTCCTAATTATAAAATAAAACCTTCAACAAGTACACCCAGATATTCTAAAGAAAACCCTAATCCCTTAGAATTACAGGAACAGTTTGACTCAGGGTATATTAAGTCTCAACTTTTTAATACTGACGATAATTCATTCGACAGTGACAGGGGTGCTATTCTGTAACTTCGCTTCACATTCACTTCACTTTCACTTCACATTCACTTCACATTCACTTCACATTCACTTCACATTCACTTCACATTCACTTCACATTCACTTCACATTCACTTCACATTCACTTCACATTCACTTCACATTCACTTCACATTCACTTCACATTCACTTCACATTCACTTCACTTTCACTTCACTTTCACTTCACATTCACTTCACTTTCACTTCACTTTCACTTCACTTTCACTTCACTTTCACTCCACATTGAAAGTGAAGTGAAAGTGAAGTGAATGTGAAGTGAAAGTGAAGTAAAAGTGAAGTGAAAGTGAAGTGAAAGTGAAGTAAAAGTGAAGTGAAAGTGAAGTGAAAGTGAAGTGAATGGAAAATGAATGTGAAGTGAATGTGAAGTGAATGTGAAGTGAATGTGAAGTGAAAGTGAAGTGAAAGTGAAGTGAATGTGAAGTGAATGTGAAGTGAATGTGAAGTGAATGTGAAGTGAATGTGAAGTGAAAGTGAAGTGAAAGTGAAGTGAAAGTGAAGTGAAAGTGAAGTGAAAGTGAAGTGAAAGTGAAGTGAATGTGAAGTGAATGTGAAGTGAAGTTACAGAATAGCACCCCAGTAACGATAGTGAAAATACCATAACTGAAAAAACCTTAGTGGATCAGAATTCAAATAAAAGCTTAAATAAGTCTTTAACTGGCGAAATTGAAACAAACGATAGCTCTGAAAATAATTCTCTTGATAACACTAGAGATAGTAACAATTTTGAGGAAAACATGGCTCTTCCAAATAATCAGCAAGTGTCTTTACGCGATGCTTTAGAAACAATACCAATGTTTGACGGAAAAAACATACCACTATCTATATTTATTGAAAGTTGTTTAGAAGCAAAATCTATGCTTCCTGATAATGCACAAGTACAAACAAATTTAGTAAAATTAATTAGGAGTCTAATTTCGGGTGAAGCAAGAAGAATTATAATAGGAAATAATTTTAATACAGTAGAACAGTTAACAGAAAGATTAAAACAAATTTACGCGCCAGCAAAGTCTGTATATCAGTTACAAGGAGAACTAGGAGCAATATATATGTGGGAACACGAAAATGTAATTTCTTATGAGTCAAGAATCGCAGAAAGAATATTAGACGCGCATAGGATTAGCAATGAAAATAGAGTAGATGAACCATTTAAAGCAAGTTTAGATAAAACAACTGTTGATTATTTTTCACGAGGACTTAGACCAGAAATTGAAATACGAATTGGAACAGCAGATACATTTCAAGAGATAGTAAATAAAGCAGTAGAAATAGAAAGAAAATTATTATCCCACCGTGAATTACGAAAAAGTGAGCAAAATACTGATTATAATTCTCATCCTAAAAATAATAAAGACTTTGCTAAAACAACAAAAATTAATATCGCTCAAGATAACATAATAACTTGTTTAGTTTGTGGAAAGAAAGGTCATTTTGCAGTAAATTGTTTTCAACTTAATAAATTGATAGCACCAAGACGAGAAAACTCCTTTTATCCAGGATCACGACAAAATTTTTCAAACCAGAATCAAAATCGATTCAACAATCCAAATCCAACGTTTAATAGATTTCAAAGTCAAAACTTTTACAAAAATCATCAACAAAATCACTTTCAAAATCAATTTAGAAACACATCACAAAATCAGTTTAGAAACATACCACAAAATCAATTCCGAACTCCATACCAAAATGAAAGACAAAATCAACAACAAAACATTTTCCAAAATCAACAAAGAAATTTCTCTCAAGAACCAAGAACTAACAATACTACAAACTTTGCGAATAGAAATCAAAGTATAACGTGTAATTATTGCAAAAAATTAGGACACATTTCCACCAATTGTAGGAAAAAGATGTGGGATGATAACAATAGACAACAACAAACAAATTCACAAACACAAAATCAGGGAAACTCCAAAATTCCTCTTTGGGGGTCGATTACGTAACTTTTTCCGATTCCACATTCCACATTCAGATTCCACATTCCGATTCCACTTCCAACATTCCGATTCCACATTCAGATTCCACTTTAAACATTCCGATTCCACATTCAGATTCCACTTTCATCATTCCGATTCCACATTCAGATTCCGCTTTCTATATTCCGATTCCACGTTCATAATTTAAATTCCACATTCAGATTCCACTTTTCACATTCCGATTCCACATTCAGAATCCACTTTCAACATTCCGATTCCACATTAAGATTCCACTTTCAAAATTCAGATTCCACATTCAGATTCCGATTCCACATTTAGATTCCACTTTCAAAATTCAGATTCCACATTCAGATTCCACTTTCCACATTCCGATTCCACATTCAGATTCCACTTTCAACATTCCGATTCCACATTCCAAATCCACTTTCAATATTCCGATTCCACATTCAGATTCCGATTCCACATTTTGATTCCACTTTCAAAATTCAGATTCCACATTCAGATTTCACTATAAACATTCCAATTCCACATTCAGATTCTACTTTCATCATTCCGATTTCACATTTAGATTCCACTTTCAAAATTCAGATTCCACATTCAGATTCCACTTTCCACATTCCAATTCCACATTCAGATTCTACTTTCATCATTCCGATTCCACATTCAGATTCCGAATCCACAGTCCGATTCCGATTCCACATTCCGATTCCACTTTTAATATTCCGATTCCACTTCCAACATTCAGATTCTACATTTAGATTCCACATTCAGATTCCGATTCCACATTTAGATTCCACTTTCAACATTTAGATTCCGCATTAAAATTCCACTACCAACTTTCAGATTCCACTTTCAACATTCCGATTCAACTTTCCACATTCCGATTCCACATTCAGATTCCAAATTTCAACATTCGACTTTCAATATTCAGATTCCACATTTAATATTCAGATTCTACATTCAGATTTCACATTCAGATTCCACTTTTAACATTCCGATTCCACATTCAATATTCAGATTTCACATTTCGATTCCACATTCAGATTCCACATTCAATATTCAGATTCAACATTCCGATTCCACATTCAATATTCTGATTTCACATTCAGATTTCACTTCCAATATTCCGATTACACATTCCACGTTTAGAGTCCACATTCCAATTTCACATTTCTCATTTCGATTCCACTTTCAATATTCCGATTCCATATTTAATATAACGAATTCACATTACACACTCTGTTCAACATTCTGATTACAAATTTCAAATTTCACTCCCATTTCCCCATTAACTTTGATAACTTACTAATTATTTGTAAATGAATAATTTGCAACTAATTCTTTATACCATTTCGATACAATTTTTTATCTATGCTACTATGACGACTCTTTTAATAATAAATTAAAAGTTATGCAAAATTTAATAAATCATTTTTCCCTTATTCGTCACAAATCATTTTCTATTGCCAACGTGATAGTCAGACGCCAGTTAATTTTATTATTAAAAATTAACAAAAACAATAATTTATTCTCAATCAACAATTACCAACAAAAATAACAAATCTCACCATAATATCTCAAAGGAGATTCCGTCAGGAAAATAACCAAAAAGGGAAACTTGGTCATTTGAGACATGACTCTTGTCAAACAGAAAATTATACTTACTAAATCTCAAGTCTAAATAATTACTAGATTATAATTCCTTGTTATTCTTTTGACAACCAAAACACAATTTCTTTTCTAACAAACCTTTATTAACAAACTATTAAATTCTCCACATAACACAAGTCAACTACATACAACGTCAATATTCCTTCGTACAATATACTCTTATACTTTTTATAAATCTCATAAGTACGTCTTATCTCATCAACATCCAAATCCAACTAACTCAAAAATGTGCTTTTGTCGTCTGCTACATTTTTCGCGATACGCCGATATACACTTGTCAAAAAGGGGAATTTACATTTCTCTCTACGCCTTAAAGTCAAAAGGACTAAGGCGCTAAACCCAAAATCAAATAATTATTAATTGAAATTGTAATAATAAAAAGAAAGTAAATAATGAACATATCATGACGAAACCACTTCGTCACAAAACTCCTCCCTTGAGATTGAATCTAACTCTTATGCATTCGAACTCACATCAAAAACATACAACTCATAACAAATCAAATCAATAAAAAAAAAAATACTTTTTTCATTTAACAATACTAAACAAAAAAAAATTAAAAAATGACAAAAAAAAATGATTAAAAAATGATTAAAATATGACAACGCCACCATTTAAACGAAGACGTGTAAATGCCTTAGGTCGAGAAGTGGCTGTGGGACCGCCTGGTAGAGCTCCGACAATTCAAGATCCAATCTTAAAACAGAAGGTTGTTATTGCAATTGCACATTATCATACATTAATACACATGAACATGATGAAAGATGCAGATTATGAAATGCTAAATACTAATATTGGTACAGGAGTTTTGAATATTTGTTTTACCATATTTCGTGCCACCAAAGTGGGAATTGCTGATCCTCATGCTGATTTTTATACAAAGGCAAAAGTTATGGATTTCAAGCTTGAATATCTAGGGAAAACGCATTCCATATCATTTGATGATGGCCAAAAGATTCTAATTATGGTGTTAAAGCAATATGAATTGGCTTTTGGATCCCCAAATTCTAATAAATGGGTAGGATCTTGGTCTTCAATTATGGGAATACTATTAATGTATTTCAGTAGAAGAAATGAAGTGCGCATGGGATCCACACAATTTAATTTCGACGCTGGAAAATTTACCAAACTTGAAGATTTTGGACTGACACGTGCGCACGAAGTCCTAATGGAAGGGATAACCTATCCACCTGAAAAGAAAGGTTTGGTTGCACAAAGTTTGGGAGCCTTGACGCAAGTAATTATGTTAATCTATGCACCAAAGGAATATTCATCTAAATGGAAAAGTGCAGTTAGAAGGACATTTGCCAATTATTATGAAGTCGAGAAACTAGTGGATGTTTTTGAACGTGCAAACAATGCAGAAGAAGTGAGGCCATTAATCCAAGCATTAGGTGATGTTGCATTGATGGTTTCAACCAGACAAACAAATAGGTACTGTCCAGCACCAAACAAATTCGCACTTTATTTCTTCACTATCAAGAAAAGAGAAATAGAAGGCAAGATAGAATACTATGAGGAACTAAACACAGAAGCACATCAACGAGCTAATGTACTCAATTTCTCTGGAACTGGCGCATATGTTCACTGGAAATGGGGAATGGACAAGAAATGGAGCTCCAAAGGACAAGTCAACACCCAACACGCATCTTGGGTTGATTTTATAACTACGTTTGGAGTCAAGTTTGAAGATCTCGGAATTCTAGAACAAATAACAGACGTTCCTCATGCGTTCACAAGAGATGACCTTGGTGACCATTTCAAAGGAGAAGGAAGTTCCGAAAAAGCAACTGTATTCACACAAGTTAGGATGAAATATTATTCAAAATTGGCAAACTCAAATCAAACTGGAAAAACTGCAAGTGATAGAGGACAATGTACATCGTTGATCAAATTCTCTGGTTCTTGTGAAAGAAAAGTTGGACACAACATCATGAAAATCTTGGGGCATGGATCTAACTATCAACCTTCTGGTTCGACTCTTACCGACCTTACCAACGTGTATGCAACCATTGCTATTAAAGAAGCAAAGGAGCTGTCTGATGCTGGATTTACAATGAAGACTGGTACCACGAAATGGCGGAACATGGACACACTTACTATCAATACTGATGGTGAGATTTCGACTGTTGATGTAAAAGGTAACGGGAGATTTTTCCTAGGATCAAGGTAGCTGCTGATTCATCGATCAATTTTTGTATCTCTTAAGGTTTTGTTAAGCAAAGTAAAGTTTGTAATGTAAAAAAAAAAAAAAAAAAAAAAAAAAAAAAAAATGAATGATACTGACAAGGGATTAGTATCAATGATCCAAGGGAGGGGAGAGGTTGTGAAGGGCACAACTGACCCATACCTTAAAATTGACAAGGATGTAGACAGTAGCCGAATAAAAAAAAATCGTCTTTTTTTTTTTATTCGGCTACTGTCTACATCCTTGTCAATTTTAAGGTATGGGTCAGTTGTGCCCTTCACAACCTCTCCCCTCCCTTGGATCATTGATACTAATCCCTTGTCAGTATCATTCATCCCCTCAATTAAACTCCACTTAAAGAGTGGATCATTATCCCCACTCTTGACCTCAACATCATTAATTGAAAAATTAAATGAGTCTCTCTCATTCTTACATCCTCCTTTATCACATGTCAAAAATTTGAATGAGTTTTTCTCATTTAACTCCTCAGTTCCTACCCTAACTTCGCATCTTATGAGTGGTTTCTCCCTACTCTTGTCAACTACTACCATGTCACCCATGTCCCAACTGCAAGATGCACCTTCATTAATAGGGAAAGAATTTAAACCTTTAATTTTGTCAGTTTCATCCCTATTTTTCTCAATAATATTAGTTTTCTCTTTGTTCTGAGAAACTTTAATTATCGAGTGTGAAGGGGGTTGGCGGGGGGTACAGACATCTTCTGCGCCCCCCATGGTCCGTTTCCCAAAACATTCCTTATATTCACACAAATCGGGCAACTTAAGAAATTCACCCCTGGTGTTTTGCATGCTAAGCAAAATTCAGTCTGCTTTACTCTACTGGGGCAGTGCGTCGCAATATGCCCTTGTTGCTGACATGCAAAACAGATTCTCAAAGGACATTCTGACACTCTATGTCCCACTGCTTGGCAAGAAAAACATGCACCATAGAAGGGAGTTGATGCACTAGTACTACCAGTTGAACAAACTTGACCTACTGGGGCAACGACAGTATTAACAGGGTTATTCTGTTGTTGCTTCTTCTTACAATTATCCGCTACCATGGCCGCATACATCATCGCTGGATTCGGCACTGGTGTTGGTGTCACAATGGTGGGGGTTGTTTGGTTGAGAGCGTCGATTTTTTT